CACTTTATAAAAACAGTTATCAGTCAAGTATCAAGAAGGTTTTTAAAGCATTATATAGAAGAAAATGTCGAACATCATTGAACAAATATGAGTTGAAAAGATTAGACATAATTGGTTTTGATCTGATCAATGAAGTGGAAAATAAAGTAAAGACCATACAAGACAATCGCAAGATAGTTGTTGACCTCAAGAAATCATATTCAGATTTGATAACAAAAGAAATTGAATATCAAGTCGGTAATAAAATATTTCTTAAAGTATCACCGCAGAAAAAGATTATGTGATTCCAACGTAAATGAAAGTTAAGTTCGAGGCTCATTGGTCGTACAAGATAATAAAAAGAGTTAGTTCAACAACTTAACCATTAGCATTATCTCCATAAATGGACAAGATTAATATATTATCTCATGTATTGATGCTTCAAAAATATAAATTGGATTCTTCGCATGTGATTACAACTGAGAAAATTAAGATCCAGCCATATTTGTCATATGAAGGGAAACCAGTAAAGAGTTTTAGAATATGGAGTTAAATAACTGAGGAATAAGGTGATCCCGATATTAAAATCTCTTTGGAGAAACCATAAAATTTAGAAAGCGTCTTAGGAACGAGATGAAGATGTGAAAAAACAGTTTCCTCATCTTTGTACTTCAGGTATGTAAATACGAATGGAAAATTCAAGGATGATTTTTTTAAGGGGGAGGAATTGTAATACCTCAAAATTTTGGATAGTGACCAAAATGTAAATTTTAAAAGTTTAGTGGCTAAAGTATAAAATTAGAAAAGTTTAGGAACCTAAAATGTAATTTTAAAAGTTATATATTTTGGTCTCGTAAATGGATAGTTCACCTTAAAAGAAGTATTTTTGTGTCTGTCAGATTTTTTATTTGGGATTTACAGAAAAAACTATTTATCATTAAAGTTCGATAAATAATCAGATATCCAAATTGAATTGAAAATTTTAAAATTTTTGAAGGATGGTAGTATGAGGTTAGAAATGTTGTGTGGATATTTTTAATGTGAAGATATCAAAGTGGATTAGTCAGGTTAGAAGGATTTGTCATGTTTTAAGGAAACTGTGGAATTTAGGGATCAAATTGAATTTTTGGAAAATTTGAAGGGAAAATTTGAAAATTTTCAAAAAGGATTTTTTATGTTTATTCTAGAACATTAAATTATAGATAAAAGGATGGCATATATGAAAATAAAAGGATTCATTAAATGCAATTTTGTCATTTTGCAAGAAATGAATTTTTAATCTTTTAAATACAAGTGTAAATGTTATTTAATGCATAGAAAATTCAAGAATTCCTTCACGCTTTCTTCTTCCAGCCGTGGTTATGTTTCAAGGTGAGAGATAGTTTCTATTTGGTTTTTGATCCATTTATGTTAGGAATTAAAGTTTGTTCATGAAGGATAAAACCATCTACATGAAATCTTCTTTCATTTACATAAAAAATGCTATGGTTTATGTTTAAGTTGATTTTAAGATGGTGAAGGGAATATTGATTTCTTGTATTTTAAAGTTTATTCATGTTGTGGGAAGTGTCGTAGTGATGAAATTAAGTTTAAAAGTTAGTTAAAATCAAGCACAAGTGCTCTATGAAGGTTTGGTCCTATGGAATTTTTTGGAGAAAAATTATGTTTTGTTTATGAATGATATGGAATTGCGTTGGATTGATTTAATATGATGTGTAGATAGTGTAATTGAGTTTGAAACAAGGTTAAGGATTAAATTGTAGAAGTTGGAGAGGTTCGACTAAAAAGGAAAAATTATAGAAAACTTTTCATAAGTTTCCTAAGGGCCTAAAATGTTATTAGAAGTGATTTTGAGTGCTTGAAATCAAGTTTTGGATCAAATTGAAGCTTGGATAAAAGTTAAGGACCAAATTTCCAATTAAATAAATTAAATTAGTTTATGCGCAAATGTTGTGAAATTATGGTCCTATGCTGGAAATTAATTTTTTGGTGCTGAATTTAAATGTTAGAATGATGATTTGGGACCAAAATTACAAATTTGGTTAAATTAGAGGTTAATTTGATAAGCTTGAAAATTTTGGGGACTTAATTGCAAGTTGTTAAATGTGAAGGTACAATTTGAGTAGGATACTACAATGCTGGAATTTATTATTTAAGTTATGAAATTCAAGTATACATATTTATTTGGGATCAAATTTGTAATTTTTCTAATGTTAAGGCTTAAATTCGAAAAGGCTAGGAAAACGGAGGATGAGATTACAAGTTTTCAAATATTTAAGTCTTGGATTGAGTTTATTAATTATTTGCTAGATATTTTGGGTAATGACTAAAAAGCTATTATAATGGTGAAGGACCATTATGAACAAAATGGAAAGATTGAAATGAATTCTAAGAAGAATTCATAATTAGTTATTTGAAATACAAAATTTGAAAAGTTGAAAGGGTTGATAGTGGAAATGAATATTTATGAAATTAAATTACTATTTTTAGAAAGTTTGAAGTTGTTATGGAAATTATGATATGATTTTATATCGATTTAGTATTGATTATTTTTTTATAAAATTTATTTTATCTAAAATTAAATTATGTTACTATAATACTAACATATAGTCGAAAACGATGTTATGTATGTAATTTCGTATAGATTACGACAAATATTGTGATTTCGAGGACTCGAAAGCGAAAGACAAAACACTTGAGTAAAAAAGTATTATATTAAAGGTTCAGTAGTGTAAAAAAAGTGAGTGTAGTTTATTTTTTAAAATATTTTGTTCGATGAAGACTTGCGATAAGTCAATCTCATATTATTTTAAAATATGAGTTTTAAAGTATGATTTAATTTTTTTAATTATGGAATATTTCCAAAATGCTATATAAAAGAATTATGATTATTTGGGTATGAATTTACCCAATATGTTTTTATACGACATCTTATGAAAATTTATCCCTAAAGCGATTCTAAATAATAATCTAAATATTTTTTATGAATGAAATATTTTCTCGATGATTTCAAAAAAGTTATTTGAATTATTTTGGGTATGAACTGCCCAATTTATGATATTTATGATAATGAATTGAAATTAATTTTGATATGGAAATGTTGACTATTATATGAATATAATATAATATAGAAACACATTGTATGTTGCATTGAGAGTCGTATGCACACTTGGCATGCCAGGAAGTCGAGTAAAGTTCAAGTTAAGTTAAGTTATGGTACATTCATGTACATTACGGATGGCACCGTTGGTGCATATGATATGATTTACACTTGGAGTGCATCTTATGATGATGATTGACACCATGAAGTGGTTACTGCACACATTATGTATGACTCACATGCCTTGCATTCTCTGACATATGCATTGGGCTATGAAAAGTAAATATAAAAGTTATGACAAGTATCTGGAAAAAAAGATTATGGATATGAAATAAAAGTTACGAATTATTTACAAAAGTAAAAGAATATGAAATAGTTGTTATATCTGATGTTAATTTACATGATTTTGATAAAATCATGAGATGATGATTTTCAGGTTTCTGAAGAGAAAATTGGCTTAAATAGCTCGGTTTGAAAGTTTCAATATTTTTATTAAATTATAAAGTTATGTTTTGAAGTATTTATGATATTTTATGTTTTATCTCACCTTAATTGTACTACTGCCTCACTAAGTTTTACTTAGTGCGTGATGATTTTCATGCGTAGGTTCGGATAGAGAAAAGAATGTGAAGTGAGGTGCCTCTCGAGCGTCTTTTCAGAAAATTGTACTTATTACCAGTAACAGTAAGCATCTTAACTTCGACTTATTAGTGGATTGTATATTATAAATGTTTTGGTTGCTCTGATAGAATTTCTTTAACAATAATGGTTGATTTATTTTAATTTAAACAGTAATTTGGCAGTTTCATATGTGTTGAGAAACAACATCAAGCTGTACTACCTAAAACCATATTAAAACTTGATGATAATATTATAAATTTATGTTTTCACACGAATTATTAAATGACTTTTAATTGATAATTTGAAATTTTAAAATGAAACAAAATTTTACGGGTTTTCAAATATGGAATGTAAAAAAATCAGTGTGACATCTTTAACTCATATTTCGAGATGTATAAGGGTTATGGGTGTTACATTAATATTGTTCAAATATGTTGAATTATTCTAATATAAGTTGCAGTTAATTTTAAAGTGAAAGGAAAAAAATGTTACAATTGCAATTACAAAAAAATTGTCCTTGCCAATATATATATCTGGTAAAAGTTCACAACATCATAATGGTCAATTCCAACAACCTTTGTTTGTTTGGAAAAGCATATGAGTTTCATCAACTAGCTTGTTACATGTAAAAATAAGCTTGTTTTATACAAAACAAAAGGCCATATTGTTTCATAAAAAACAAACTAAAATACAAAAGTTGACACCAAGAATTCATTATGTCATTTGAATTCTAGGATACATTCGAGAGGCATCCGAATGTTCTTGCTCAAGTTGCCTAGTAGTGACAGGCTTCTTCCTTTTCCAATTCAATCTAGGACCCTTCATTGTATGCTGAAACTTGGAATTATGAGCTCCAATCTTCTTTGGGGAACTAGTAAGGGCAGTCAGAACCGTTTCACTCAATAAGCCAAGATGCAAATAAATTGAACATATATATTGTCATATCTCAAAAATTGAATTTCCACAATTTCTCCCAAATAATTAACCAATTGTAATTTAACAGATATGTTCACAGATTTCAACAAGCTAATTTTCACAATTTCAGACAAGGTAATTCCATAATTTCAGACAAATAATTAACTAGATATAGTTATACCAAAACTTTGCAACATTTCAAACAATTAATCAATATAAAAAAATTCAAATTGACAGAAAAAGGAAAACAAATGAAATACCCACATTAAGTATTTGTTCACCAGTGTTCATATTGTTATAAATACCAATACCAATCTTTGTTTTCTTTTTCTAGTCAGCCCATCATCATTTTTATTTGTAAAATTTGATATGGCTGATTTCTTCAATGTGGTTAACTTCTTAGTGGAAGTGGTTGATTTCTTAGTCGAAGTGGCTGACTTCTTCGATGTGGTTGCATTTGTATTCACCTATAATTCCACAAAAAGTCAGTGGATACAAAATCTATATAAGGAGTTAATTTCGAGTAAAACTTAAATAACATGTTTAGCTCACTTGAAGCATCATCGGTTATTTTTTGTGGACAACTTTACTTGTTATGGCCTAATGTTTTATAATGACCACATCTCATTTTTACCTTGAATCTTGAGTACTTCCCAAATGTCAATTTTGTGGGCTCATCTTTATCTTTTCTTATCTTTTTCTTGGGCCTTCCAGGTTGGATCTTTAAAATGGGAGGGTTAATCGGAGCAAAGATATTTGGGCTAGAACTTTTTTCCTCTCAAGGGTTGTAGGATATATTTGTAACTTGCCACATACTTCTCCTTACTATACCATTCAGAAACATAATCTTCAAGTGATTTGGACTCTTGGTACATTGAACATATGGCATGACAACATGGAATCCCACTGAGTTCCCATTCCCTACAAGTGCATTTCAACTTCTTTAAGTTAACCATATGTTGGTTATCCAAATGAATAACCTCAAACCCTCCATAACCATTCCAGATAAGCCTATGTTAAGTTGAAATATCAATTTTCCTTTCCAATTTCTCAAGAGCTCTTGGTGAGATATTGGTTCTCCACTTTTCTGTCCAAGTTCTTTTAGTATCCATCGTAGTAATTACCATGACCCTAATATTCTCAAGCATGCTGATGATAGGCTTGCATCTTGCTTCCACAATCCATCCATTAAAAGTTTCGGTCATGTTATTGTCCACCACATCATATTTGTAAGTCCCTTTAAAATAAGCCTTTGACCATACTCCACTAAGGTTTCTAATAGTTCATTTGAGGACCCATGCCCCAAAGTTTCTATTTTTTCCAACTGTTCATCAAATTCTTTTATAAAAGTTGCTCTGATAGTATTCCAGAATTGGAATTTTATGTTAATCCCTTTCCATTTGTTATGCAAGATGCATATATGTGCCTTGCATACATCTTGTGCTCAACATCGGGGAATAATTCTTTTAGGACTTGTATAATATAAAATCCTAATCTAGTCCGACTCAAAGATCCATGGATTACAGTGTTACACGAGACTACTGAAATAGTGACCCAAATTTTTTTGAAACCTGGTTGTAAAACAAGTGATAATAATAATCCAAACAGTTAAAATAAAACATGATGATAATAATCTGATTTAACAAAATATGGGAAGCTCCCAACATATATCCAAAATAATACATATATTGAGTACAAATAAAGTTACGACTGAATACCCATAAGGGTTTATAAATAGTGCATGCCCTATAAAGATGACTCAAGACATACTCTGATGGTCTCTGTTCATATGGTTTATTGTACTAGAATGTCTGGTGACGAGAACTCCACACAAATTATCGTCTAAGAACCTGCACACAAAAACACACTCTGAAAGCTAAGCTTACGAGCTCAGTGCCTCACTAATAATTGTACTATACTACATACATTCACTAAATGAGTTAGCTAGTGGCACAGGTCTGAACATGTAAAGTTACCTATTTTAATTATTGAGTAGGCATTTTAGTGTAGTTAAGGGTTCTGCATCTCAGAGCTCACACACCGCTCTAGCCTTTTTGAGATACCCTCAGTATCTAAGATGAGATACCCTCGGTATCTAAGATGAGATCTGAAGTTGCATCATAAACGTACATCCGTCAACTTACTCTGTTGAGTCTTGAGGCATCTGTACCCAGTTGGCTACTAAAGGCACTGACTTGGATATCCACTGACTGTCGCACTCTGCTAAAGAGGAACTTGGGTGTCCTGAATGTTTTACAAGAGTTAAATGAGGCTAGTTTTATATAATCCTAGATGCTATTGTTTCTGATGTTCTGATTTTAATTAATATTCTCGCTTGAAGTCTTATTTTCTACTATTTTGAGTATATGGGGTACCTCGAATATGATCCCTTAATCCTTGGATTATTTATCCAATTTTATTTATGGGTACCAATATTGACCCTTTAGTATCGATACTAAACCTTTGGTATCAATACCCACCCTGTTGGTATCGATACCCCCTGACTGTTGTGGGCTATTTTGTTAAGGTAGTATCGATACTCTAGGCTGAGTATCAATACTCTGGTGCTGGGGTATCGATACTTGATTGTGTATCAATACCAAATATAGTTTCGATATTTTGAAAATACCCAATATCAATACCCTTATGGGGAGTATCGATACTCCTACCCTGGTATTGATACTCTATGAATGAGTATTGATACCACCCCATTAAAATTTTCTAATTTTTGTCAGAATGAAGAACAATATCGATACTATTCTTACAATATCGATACCATCGCTACGGGGTGCCTTGTTTTGTTACAAAAAATCATATCTTTCAACCCCAAAAGGCCCATTGAGGTCCCCGACTGATGTTTAAGTATTTTATTTGGTACAAGGGGTAATAAAAAGTCTGTAAATATATTGAAAACACCTAAACAATGCAATCTATCATGATCGTGTTTCAAGCTTATACAAATTACCAAATCTCACCTAAATGAGCTACATGTGGTATAGATAAGTTAGAAGTGAGTTAATTGATAGTTCTAAGCAGCTAATAGTTTCCAAAGATCAACCCAAGGTGAGCTTTTCCTTCCCTTTAGTTTTAAAGCACTCTCCAACTTCTATCACTTTGCAAGAATCAAAGAATGGATAACTAACTGCATTTAAAGGTTAGAAAAGGTTTAAATACACTTTATAAGGCTAGAAATATCTGAAAATCAAATTAGAACCAACTAGTTCTTCTAACCCCTCACAAATATTTTTCCCAACCAAGGACAAAGTTTAATCTTGGGGTCTCAAATGAAATCTCTAGAGGTGTTGACTTTGATTCTTTTATAATGCTGATTGGGATCTGAAAAATGATAAAGTTTATACATTTGATCTTCTAAGAGTAAGAAAAATGGGTAGAAGAAGAAGATAATAATACAAGCCTTGAAGAAAAAGAGGGAAGCGTTTCAGACGTGATATCATCTTTAATTAAAGCATTTCAGGTTTAATTTTGAACAACAGTAAAATTATTTCCTTGGTCCTCATGATTTTGGCTGCAATGCCCTTTTTCCACTATTGCTGAGGGAACTTGGTGTTCCACTTTAACATGCTGACATATTAGATATCTACAAAAAACTCTAACATTTCTCTTTTTTTCTCAGCCAAAACAACAATCAACGATGCTCCTGATACATCTTATTATTACCTGAGTGTACTGAGAGTGGACTAAAATCTACCTCATGGAGAATCTTTTTGCGTTAATAAGCATATGCGGGTATGTATAAATGAACCCTAAAATACAACACATCACCATCTCACAACTCAAAGCCTGGGGCCTCGCCCTGATGAACCTGCTCAAATTGAGTCCTCAACTGGTCATCTGGACTCTACAACCCTTGGTTTCACCTACCAATTCTAGCTCAACTCTTAACTCGGCTAGCAACCCACCATTACTGGATAAACTCAACCGTGGTAGAAGGGCTCACAAATCTGATATTGACTTTCTGCTCAAAGCGTATGCTACAACATTGACCTTTTTTGGATGATAACATATCACAAAGTCATAGTCCTTAAGCAACTTGACATATCTGTGCTATTTGAGGTTCTACCCTTTTGAGTGAAGAAATACTTGAGGTTCTTATGATCGATGAAGATGTGACACTTCTCTCCAAATAAATAATGTCATCAAATCTTCAAGGCTAACACAACTATTGCTAATTCAAAATCATGGGTGGGATAATTATGCTAATGAGGTTTAAGCTCTCCAGACGCGTAAGCAACAATTTTACCCTTCTACATCAGAACGTATCCAAGGTCATTCAGCGAAACATCACTAAAAATTATTAATTCCTTACCCGACTTTGGTTGGGTTAACACTAGGGCTTGGGTCAAGATGACCTTCAACTGTTTGAAGATTTCATATCGCTTCTTATTCTAAACCAAAGAAATTGTGCACCTCTAAAACACTCTTAGGTGGCTCCCACTCTACTATAGCATGAATTTTCTAGGGGTTGACCTAGATGTCGTTTGCTAACACAATATTAACCAAGAAAGAAACCTAAGATAGCCAAAATTTACACTTATCAAACTTAGCATACAACTATCTGTCTCTAAGGGTCTATAGAACGATATGAAGATGTTGATCATACTCCTCATCTGATCGGGAGTAAGCTAAAATGTATTCTATAAACACCACTATGAACTGATCTAAGCATGGTTGGAAGACTCGATTCATTAGTTCTATGAATGTCGTTGGTGCGTTGGTGAGTCCAAACAATATCACCAAGAACTCATAATGCATATACCTTGTCCTAAAATCTGCCTTTGCCACATATACATCTTTGAATTTCAACTGATAGTAGACTGATCGCAGATCAATCTTTAAGAAAATACACACTCCTCTAAGCTGGTAAAAGATGGTGTCTATGCTGAGGAGTGGTTTATGATTCTTAATGGTTAACTTGTTTAACTGCATATATTCGATGCACAGCTTCAACGACCCATCTTTCTTCTTAACAAATAAGACTGTCTCTCCCCAATAAGATATGCTCAGTTAGAGGAACCCTTTCTCTAGTAACTCTTAAATTTAAGCCTTTAACTTCTTTAATTCTATAAGTGCCATGCGACAGGGAGCAATGGAAATCGGAGTTGAATCTAACATTACCTTAATGCCAAACTCTAACGCACGCTCAGGTGACAAACCCAACAATTCTTCTGGGAACACATTGGGGAAATCTCATACTGATAGAATATCCTCGAGTATAGTAACTGAAATTCAGGTGTAGACCACGTAAGCCAAAAAGGCCTCACACCCACGGTCGATCATCCCTTGGGCTTTCAAACCTAATACTATCTTCGAATGGCAGGATATGACACCAGTCATTACTAATTTGGTTCCATCAGTTGTCTTGAGTTTAAGCAGTCTGATTTTGCACCTCAAACTGGCATCGTGCTCTATTAACCAGTCCATCTCCAAGATCATGTCGAACTTTCTAAAGGGTAACTCCATCAAATCTGCTATGAAAGTATGGTCCTGAATTTTCACTGGACATCGTCTGCAGATCTTATCCACAAGAACATTTAGGCTTGGGGGGCTTGATACTCGAACGCCTA